CAGGGCTCTTCACACTGAGATGTAATATCATTGTTTTACAGCAGAATTAGATTCAGGTAAGAACGAGAATCATTCTGGAAACTTCTGAAGGTGCTAAAGCCAACAGGATGAAACATGGTTAACAGCCACCAGAACAGACACCACTGAAAAGATGTAGGCTTAGTTTTAATCAAACTATACAGTGAAATAACTTGTGCTCCTAATCAGTTGTTCTTATTTTGGAAAAGTCATTGATTTATTTGTTTATTGTAAATAAATATGAAATAAATAGTCTTGAGGCAGCTGTTTATTTCAAACGAATGAATAATAATTATAAATTTTTCTAACTATATTTAATATTTATATTTGTTCACGGAATAAAATGTCCAATCAAATACTTTATGCATAAATAAAATAAATAACTGCTAACACATTACAATAAGGTTTCTTATTTGTTAACTTCATTTGTTAACATGAGCTGACAATTAACAATATTTCTACAGCATTTTTCATCTTTATTAATGTTAATCTCAACGTAACTAATACATTTCTAAACAATAGTTAATGCACTGAATAACATTTTTATTAACTAACAGCATCAAAGGTTAAAAATGCTGTAAAAATGTATATTGCTCTTTGTTAGTTAATGCATTAACTAGTGCGAACAAATGAAACCTTTCATTTTAAAATATAATATAAAAATATAATGATATTACTTTTAATACCTGCTGTATATTATAGTTGCAGGAACAAAATGTGAATGTTTACACTGTGTGTTCAAAAATATTGATATTTGTTTAGACAGACCCTGTTTGTTGTGATTTAAGGTCAGATCAAATTTTATTCAGAAGTCTATGATAAATTATAAATGTATCTGAAGGGTACATATACATTTTCCTGCAACTGTACATTCTGACAGCTGCGATTGCTAGAAATATTCCTAGGGGTTATTCAATGGTCTTTTAACTTTAGCAGAGACATGTCTCTATCGTCCATCCTCAAATCTACACCCATGCACCTTTGGCTTAGCAGTGGCATTTTGACACATTTAAAATGTCAGTCTTCCTTGAATTCATTCCTGCACAGACCATCCTAGAACACAGGTTATGTCTAGGGAGGAAAATCATAGTCACTCGGCTCGGATCAGGCCTGCAGACGGCACTTTACAGCCAACTGACAGACAAACACATATGCACAAACACCATCTTCAGCCTAATTGGCCATTCTCACTGTGACATGTCCTTTGTATCTGGGTAGACAGCTGTTGATCACAGAGAAGGGAGAAAAAAGGATAAGCGAAGGAAAGAATAAGAGCGCAAAACCCCTTTTCTTCAGCATTGTTCCCTTGAAAAGAAAAACGCAAACAGAAAGAGCTTAAACACAGATAATCACACACCGGAGTGAAGACTGGCATGGATGTCACAAAGTTTCGGAGCTAAGCTCTATAAGTTGTTGAACCCAACCAAGGAGTTTACTATATTTGTGAAGCTTTAGCTTTCAGAACTCAAAAACTGTGTGGAAAGGTCACACACCTACACATGTGCTCTAACCATCAGTGTTGGAGAGTATATATAAAAGCATCAATGCCACAAACGTAACTACATTTTCACTAGTGTCGGTACTTCAGCTGTAGAAGTGTAACGTTATAAAATGTTATTTTTATAACATTATAAATGCTGCTTTTTGTTACACAGAATGCCTACAGTAATCAAATACTGTCTCTGACCTGTTTCATACAAACTCATGAATCAGTTTGTTTGATTCAAAAAAATATTCTCAGTACAGTAGTGTTGGGAAGTCAGGTGTATTACATAAATTAATCTGTTCAAAAGAATTCACTAAAGTGTAGCAAAATACTTAAAGTAGTTAAATTCTGCTGTATTTTTGAGCTAAATAGATTCAGGTGTTTCTAGATTTACTACTATATTTACCACTTTACCAATTCATGTTCAATGCAGTCACCCAATCCACATTCTTTTTATGCCAAATAAATACTACTCAAAATACTACTCTGACTGTAAAAAAATAAATATCATCTAAAGATATTGTCTATTTAATGCATTAAAAACGGCATCCTTTCATAGTTTCAGTTTAGCTGTTAAATAATAAATAAATAAATTCACTGTTAAGTATTTTAAATGATAAGTAAATATTAGCTACATTTCTAAGTATCTTCCTCAACAGCATGTTTCCATCCTGAGTGTGAATTTATTTTATGAAAAAAGTCAACGCAAAGTGACTTTTTGATGCACGTCTAGGAATTTATTTGGTAAATGTGTGATAGTTCATGCATGCCATGCAGAAAAAAAAGATATTGTGGCTATGAATTAAGAATTGATTCCTGCAACTTCATCTGTGGCCGCATTTTATTAATTTACTTCATTGTTTTAGTTCAATTGTGGTCCAGATATGATTAATTTACTCCTTCATTTTAGGTGAATTGAGGCCACTGTGTACTAATTTGTTCCCTCATTTTAATTTAGCTAAATCTTTGCCACAAAATCTTGTTTTATTCCTGAATGTCATGTGTAAAGCTTCATATTTGTGCGTGTCTTCTTGCTAAATAATACATCTAACCACCTCAAGTAAGTTTTTTTTTTTTTCAATTTCAAATTTTTTTTTTTGGTGGAGAACTATTGTTTATGTGATGAATATAATACATGGATGCCCAACTAGTGCTAAACTCAAACTTGAGAAACTCTCTCTTTGTCACACGCACTGTCCCGTTATTAAGCAATAAAGTACAGAACCAGTTTCCCAAGCATCAGTGTCAACGGCACTTTACACTGAAGGACACATTACCATATATATGGAGGTCTGGCTGAACATACAAACACCTGTACTGAGTAAACACAGACTTTAATATCGCATCTCTCCCAGATATCCAGAGCACGGATTTACTGACCGTTTCTAGAGCACATATATAGACAGATACATATGCAGGAGAGATGTGGACATTTAGATGAGGAAATATTATCATTCTGTGTGATTGCATATATTAACAGCTTATGGCTGTGTGCAGTGAGGTTATTTTTACATGTGCATCACTCTGTAATGCGAGGTTACATGGCCAAAAGTATAAGAGGTAATAGTTCCTCCAGGACCCTGCTGTTAAAACTTCACAGGAACCCCATCAAGCAGCTCGATTACCCCTTTAGGAATAAATAACATGTTGGTATTCCTCTTATCAAAGGCCTCTCTGATCTCCACAAATACTGCGTGAACCAAACACAGCCACAGTTATAAACACACACTCACTCACACACACCCACGCCGTACCAGCATAAACCTAAGGTGGAGTATTTTACACACTGCGGAGGAGGGGATGAGTGGAGATGGAGCTTTGATGAATAATGCGAGTGCATTGCGGTGCGGTAAGCGTGTGTATAAGTGTCTCGCGCTGATGGGAAACTCAGTGTTAAAGTGGAAAGTTCAGCACATCGTCCCCGTCATGCAAAAGCAGTACAAGCTCCACCACTGCTCACGTTCAATATTTCATGAGCACTTGCCCTCCTGATCTCGCTAACGTTCGCTAGAAACTGGAGTGTGTTATTGCTCTTTAAACTCCTACTGCTCCTGCAAAAGGGCCATCAGTGAGAAAGGTTCATCGGTTCCTGAGTAAATGTTTGGATAAAAATGTTTTAGAGTGATCTTACGCAAGATGAACATCTGAAATGGTTACAGAAGGAAAATTGGGGGAGAATTGAACACTCTTCCACAAATAAACACCTATCCTGTGACGAACCTTCTCTGATTCATTTGTAATATTGCAACTTTTGTGGTTACTGAAATGTTTTTACAAAGTCCCTATTAAGACAATGTGATGGAGAAAATATGAGATTGGTGAAATTACATTATATCTCAATGCTCTCAAAATGTTTGCACTGTATTGCCAAAGTATTGCCTTCCCCCAGAAACTTTCCATTAAGTCAAGTCAAGTCATCTTTATTTATATAACGCTTTATACAAGGCAGATTAAGTTGCAAAACGTTTGTTTGGGGAAATAAACTTTGCATTTTCTCACAAAAGCATTAAAATACAGTTCTTTTTTTTCAACTTCATCACCAGTTTTGCACTTGCCTGCAAAAATGCTAAACATCTGTGAGCAAACCGTTTTTTTGTGGAAACACAACATTTTTACGATTAAATTCAAAAACATTGAAACATAATCTTCACTCCCATGTAAATTTTCCCATTACCCTTACTGGGCTCTGTTGTTTTTGAAAGCAGTTTTAAAAAGTTTTGAAAAATAACAATGTATGTATTCTAAGATCACCAACCAATTTTTTTTGGAGTACCACAATTAAAAAAAATGAATAATTATTGATCATTTTAATAATTATTCATTTAGTCAATTAAATAATTAATAATAAAGATACATATTATGCATTTTGTCAGTGTTTTTTTTTTTTTTTTTTAGAAATATGAATAAATGAAAAATGTTACCACATTTTGTTTAGTTAGTAATACATAGTCAATTAAAGGCCAATTATAGGATTGCATTTAAACTGCCTCTAAAAAGACTGAAAAGTCATTAAAAAGTCTGTGTAAACTCCTATAGCGATAATTGTTCTAAATTTATTTATTTAAAATCTTACAATTTTCAAATATTTATTTCTTAAAAGTACTAAAATCATAAAGTAATCTGAATCTTTAAGTAGAATTGGAATTGTGTGATGTTAGACAGACAGATGAAGAGCTTGACTATATTTAGGCATGTAAATGTATAACTATATATAACTATACTGAAAGAGGTGTCCTGAAAAATCTTGATAGCTTTTTTGATTTTTATAGCCCTAGGCTGTTAACAGCCAATCAGAAAACTAGTCAATCAGTAACACTCTTTCCCTGTGAATCATTTCACTCGTTCTGGTCCGCTGACACTGGGTTTGCTGACATGTCTTTGGAGGTTGAGGTTTTGGAACGAGGGTGTTAGCAAAACGGCTGAAGTTGGCAAAATGGCTGGACTCGCCTACAGCGCTCAAATTCTCACCCCGTTTCTGAGACCAAGTGTCACTCACCTGTGCGCTGACTTTGCTTTTGGCCGCCACGGCTTGTTTGAAAGCCTGTCTGATGATGACGTGCAGTCTGAGCACCACGGCCTCGATGTCCTGCTCCCCCTTCATGGCAGCGGCGAGTGACCCCAGTTCCTCCACGTACGCCCTCCAGTGAGGCTGCACCTCCGCCGCTCCCCCCAGACACGCCCCCATGGTGCTGACACACAGTGAGCGGCACGGCCGGGCCTCCAGCAGGCCTTGACAGTGCGGGCAGTACCAGAGCTTCAGCAGCGAGCGGCCGCAGTCCCTGCCCGCACGCAGGTGCTGGGTGGTGTTGACCACTTCGATGCCCAGGTTCAGCGCTTGCAGGAAGACCCGAGTGGCCAGGAGCGAGCGAGACAGCCGGGTCATCATCATCTTGGGAAACGACCCGAACGCAGAGGTTCCCCTCCAGGCCCCACGGAGGCATTCTTCCGAGATGCCCGTCACCGCCCCGTTTCCAAGCAGACGCCGGTAGGTGAAAGGAAAAAGGCGGGAGAAGAAGGTAGAGACCATGTCGTTTACGTTAGCATCCGAGCCCAGGATGTAGAGGGACATTTCTAGGAATAACTGTGTGACGGCTCCGCTGGCTCCGGCCCCCAAACCGGGAAACTCCTCCCGTAACAGCGTCAGAGTGGAATTACGACCCAGACGGAGGACCATGTCAAAAGCCTCTGAAATATAAGAGAAACAAAGAGATGAATGGAAGAGTGATGACAGAGTCTATAGGGCTGTTCACTAATTCTTATAAAAATGGTACAAAAGCTGTCACTGGGGCTGTACCCTTTCAAAAGGTACTAATATGTACCATTTAGGTTCTAATATGTACACTAATATATACCTATAAGGTATTAATATGCAGCTTTTAGAGGTTAAAATGTACCTTTTGAAAGGGTACTGCTCCAGTGGCAACTTTTTTTGCACCATTAAGTTTAGTTGAAAAATAGTCCTAAGTATAAATGAAATTGGCAGACACTTGGCAGACACTTGGATTATATCAATGATATTGTGTTTTGTGTGACAGACTTCAATCCTTTAGACATTTACAATGATTTTGACATTTACGCTCATTTACATTTTAAGAAAGAGAACTTTATATGACTAAATGATTTCTTAGTGGCTCTCAAGCATGAAATTGGTCTAACCTGTGTCCATAATGCCAATAAAAATAAGTAAATGTCTAAATTTCCAGTTTGTTTTAAGTGTTTATCTTTTGAATTGCCACTGACTTATCTTAGATGTATCTCCAGAATATACATTATTTAAATTTCTACATATACTATTTATACTGTAATATAATTTAAATATAATAATTTTATGATTATCTAGGCATCATACTTCAATGAGAAGTTGAAAGTTACAGTATGTGAATAAAAAATACACTACTGCTTTGAACTTTCTATTCATCAAAGAATCCTGAAAAAAATATATATATCATGGTTTCCACAAAAATATTACATAAACACTGATAATAAGAAGAAAAGTATTTTTTAGAGCATTACATTTAGCATATTTGAATAATTTCTGAAGGATCATGTGACACTGAGGAGACTGCAGTAATGATGCTGAAAATTCAGCTTTGCCATCACAAGAATACATAACATTTTAAAATATTAAAACAGACAAACAAAGTTATTTTGAAATGTAATAATATTTCAAAATATTATTGTATTTCCAATCAAATAAATGCAGCCTTTGTGAGCAAGAGGTTTCTTTCAAAAACTTTTTAAAAAAACTTACTGACCCCAATCTTTTGAAAGGTAGTGTAATTTGAAACATTAGCCCTAACAAGACAAATTGACACTCAAAGCTATTTGTTTACAAATTTGAAGGCAATTTGAAGGCTCAATGACAGTAAACTTCATATTAGGCAACACATAACATCGGCTTATGATCTCATAGCTAAGTTCTGCCTTAAGAACTATAGGTGCACTGACTTAAGTACAGACTAAGTTAGATACTAAGCTCTATAGTGTGAACTTTATAAATGGATAGTGCAACTCTAACCAGAAGCAGCTAATCAAGTTTTTCAATGATTACTAGGAACATCAAGCAGGTGTGCTGGAGCAGGCTGAAGCTGAACTTTGCAGGAAAGTGGCCCTCCAGGAACACATTTAGATACCCCTGAACTGAGGTACCAAACCCATTCATTGACACTCTTAAAATTTTACTGATGCAGAGAGTTCACTGACAAAAAATGAAAAGAAAATACGCAATAATCCACAGAATCTTTTCCACACAGATGCACACACAATCCTAATCCCTGAAAGATGATAAATAGCGAGAAAAAAGGAAGATGGAATTAAAGCTTCCCCTCTAGATGAAAACCACGATGGCCTTTTAAAACAACAAGGGTGCTTTTCAAGAGCCTTATTATAGCTATAAAAGGCGTTCATTCATCCGTGCTGGATGCTGTGAGAGAGATCTCCAGAAAACAGCACAAAGCGACGAGACATAATCAGTGACATCTGAAAGCTCTCAGTGAAGCCTTATCAGCACGCAGGCAAAGAGGGATTGCTACCGAACCCACCCAGACTACCGGGGAGACCAGAGACGAGAGGCTGAGGGGATTTGGGAGCATGTGGAGAGGAAAACTGAAGGCTACAGGGAGAGAGGAAGAATGACAGAGAAAAGAAATATGAGTGAAAGAGAGGAGAGAAGGGCCTTGGGTTCGTCATCCAGAGTTCCAGACAGTGTGAAGGTGATTGAGAGGTGGGGAGTCTGCAGAGCCGTGATATAAGCATGCTGCCGAGCAGACTGTTCACAGCCACATACGTGAAGAGCTCCATCCATCTCTCCCAGGGAGTCCGGCTCTCAGGGGCACAGGATATTACATCAGCACAACACGCTGGAGGAGTTTATGGATCGCACTGATTGAGACGAGATAGAAATCCCTTAGCACTATATCACAGAGCAGTTAAAAGTCTCAAGGTGCTTTTAGACAACCCGGAAATTCACTCTCAGTGGCTATGCTCGGAATAACGTACTCATATTTAATCACATGATATCTGCAGTATACAGTATGCATGTTGTGCACAGCATGAAAATGTTCTGTTTGCATGGAAGAACCAGATCACCTTATAACTCAGACTGGACCATTTTTCCAAAGGCTTTTTCCAAGTTTACAATAAATAAGGTAGGCTAACACTTTAGTTTAGGGACCATTTCTCACTATTAACTAGTTGCTTATTAGCATGCATATTACAAGCATATTGGCTGTTTATTAGTACTTAAAAACACATTTTAATGCCTTATTCTTCATGACAGTATTTTAGTTCCTTTAATCCTGTACCATACCTAAACTTAACAACTACCTTACTAACTATTAATAAGTAGCAAATCAAGAGTTTGAGGTCATAGTTAATAGTCAGTTAACAGTGAGAACCAAACTAAAGTGTGAAAGTATAGTACAAATAAACATTTCAAACAGTAATATGATACATAGCTATTATATGTGAGTGGAATCCAGTCATATTAATCTCAGTAACAAATGTTTATTTCGCATTTTAATCCTATTTTGTGTAAAGAATGAAACCTTTTGGCAGTCTGATAAAATGATGAGTCAAGACGGAGGTTAAATATCTCAGTTAATATTGCCTCGGGTTCATTTGTCACACTGGAAATAGAAGGTCAAGTGGAGCGCATTGCATTGTGGGATACAGCATCTCACGCTGTGCGCTCTGCTTGCACACTGCAAGTTTTGCCAAATACAGCAGGTCACCCGGGTATTCAACAGCCTACAGGAACATATTTACATACTGTGCGCAGTATACATACTGCGTACTGCAGAAGTCGTATGCCATTTTGAGACAAACAACAGCAAAGCGGCTTAGAAATCGGCCAGCACAGACATACACAGTCAGTGAATGATGCTGGGGTGTGTTTTGCTGAGATTTACCGTAGCAGGGTGAGTAATGTGGTGTTTAGGGAGACAGTGTCTAGTGCTCTGTGCTGATGTTAGCAGTAACGCAGCGTCTCGGCTGTGTGTGCTTGCGCTGGGGACAGAAGCGGGTATGTCTGCGGCTCACTGTGAGTTTACCCACCGAACAGACGCACACACACTTCTCTCTGTGATCAACGCTCAGGGAGACACTCTCACACGTTAAAGAATAACAACAGACACACATACAGAATGTCACACGCACGTCAATTCATATGCAAACACATTCATCACAGCACACCAGCTCATGCTGTTTGCAAAAGCACAAGCATAAATAACTCATGCCTATACACTCATCATATGACAGACAACAGCGTTCATATTTATGAACAAACATAGACGAAATGTAAAGAGAAATCACAATGATATGAGCTTAAAAGCAGTCTATATATATCAGAATTGGAGTTAAGATACAGATCTGGACCCAATCCAAAATCAGATCTCTCAAAACCAAGATCTAGACCAAAACCTGGTTCCAAGACTTGTTTTTTCAAGAAGCAGGATGTTCATTTTACTGAACAGTATGATTGTGGCAAAAATCATATATATAGTGTCTAGTGTGTGTGTGTGTGTGTGTGTGTGTGTGTGTAATATATATATATATATTACACATTTTCTGTGCTTGTTAATTTTCAATTAATATAATTTACAGTAAAATACCTTTTTTGTTTTGGGTAATTGCATGCTATATTCTTTATATAGGCTACACATCTAAGGCTAAATTAATTCATTGCTGTTTGTACATCAGTAAATTATACAACAGTCCATTTCTCATTGGCCCTCTTAGCAGCATGAAAACAAAAAAATTGTTGTTCAAATCTTGAATAAATTATACACAGAAAGTGAGGATCGTGACAATATTAGAACGCCCCCATTACAACAAAATCCTTCACTCAGTTAACACAGTTTCAATTGACTTTTTGAGTGCACATGTGCCATCACTGACAAAAATGAAACTTTGGTTGGATTCCATTTAGCATTCTCTTTTATGCAATGCTGAAACATGCATTTATGGATAAAACTACACAATCATTATTATTGATTGTGGATAAATTAAATTAAATCTAAATGAAAATGAAAATGAAAATGAAAATGAAATAAAAAAATTTAAATCAAATCTAAGTGGCCACTGCATTTACATGCTCAGCAAACATGTATGTGATTGGTTACAATGCTTACTGCTGCAAAAAACACAATACTGAAATTCTGACATAAAATAAAGTTTTAAATGGAATGATGAAATCGATACTTTTCACAATTAGTTAATCGTAGAAACCATATTCTTTAAATTCAGTTAATTATTCAAGTAAATTAAGTGATATTATTCAACAATGTCATTATCATCTTTAGTATGATGTAAATGGACTACATTCTTGTCTAAGACCACAGGTTAAGCCCCACATCCAGACTAAGAGTCTATGCTTAGAGACCCAGACCAAGGCCTCAATTTAGGTTTTTTTTTTAATGGGGTTTTTTATGCTTTTTTTATTGAGATACTACAGTAGAGAGATGACAGGAAAGCATCGGGAGGAGAGAGGGGAGCGGGATCGGCAAAGGACCTCGAGACGGGAATCGAACTCGGGTCACCGTGAGCGCAGTTGCACTATGTGTCGACGCACTAACCACGAGGCTATTGGCGCTGACCTATGACCCCTTTAAAATGAAATTTTTAAAAAATCAGTTTAGTCTCAGATTCCTGTCCCCAAATGTTGATGTTAACATGAAGTGGTCTAC